CCTCCTCCTCCTCCTCCTCCTCCAATTGCACCTTGTGCTGCTGGATGAGGGCAACTCTGCGCTCCTCGATGTTGCTCGGAATCGTGAGCCATCCCGGCTGCTCCTTCCCTTCTCCGCGCCTGCGGCTGCTCCTGCAGATGCCAGTCACGCCTGCTCTACAAGAAGGAGGGGGGGAGGGAGGGAGAGGGGGGATGCAAGGAAGTGAGGTACGAGGAGAATAGTAAGATGATCTAGAGGAGGGTCGGCTGAGGCATCGAGAGCGAGCACAAACCTGATCCTCTTATTCCGACTCAAGTTGCCAGTGGCTGCTAACCGGGTGAGGGAGGGAGCGGGAGCGGGAGCGGGAGCGGGAGCAGGAGGGCAGGAGCAGGAGCAGAAGGAGGAGGAGGAGGGGAGGAGGAGGGGAGGAGGAGATGGACTACATCTCTCCTCGAGGATCCTCCAGTACATCATCGCGGCATGACCTCTGATGCTCGGGCTCTCTCGCCAGCTGCGAGAAGATGACGAGAAGGTGGACAAGAGTGCGTGTGACCTGGTGTCGACCACATAGGAGGCAGCAGAGAGAGCGAGAGAGGTGTCATCCTGCTCTCGGTACGGCGATGGAGGATTGTCCATCCATCCGGCTGAGAGTCTACGGTAGAATCAAGCTCCTCCTCCTCCTCCTCCTCCTCCTCCTCCTCCTTCCCCCGCCCCCCCCCCCCCTTTGCCTTCCTCCTCCCTATCCCCCCACCTTCCTCCTCCCTATCCCCCCACCTTCCTCCTCCCTCTTCCCCCACCTTCCTCCTCCTCGTGCTTCTCCTCCTTCCAACGCTTACCTGTATTCTGGGTCGTTCTTGCTCGTGACCAACCCGTCGGTCACCTTGAGAGGAGTCATGGCCGAGGATGCAGCATGGAGCTGCTGCTGTGCGACGACCCGCAGATGCTGACTCATCCAGTGACTCGAAGTCTGGCCAAGTTCATCAGTAGTAGTAGTAGTAGGAGGAGGAGGAGTGCAGGCAAGCACCTGAGTCAACGACATTGAGGTCTCGTCCTCCTCCGGCTCCGACAGCTCTGAAAGGTTCTCGTGAAGTTCGTTGCTATCTCCTGGTGGGATCCTGACCGACCAGTCGCATTCTGAGTTCAACGTCTCTTCAGAATCCTCACTTTGATGACTCAGGTCTCTGCCGATCTTGCTCTCCTCAATGCTTCTCTCTGAAACCAGCTCCTGCACCTCCCTTCTTGCCTCATCCTCCCCTTCCTTCCCTACCTTCATCACTTCCTCCACCTTCACTGCCCCCTTGTCTCTCACTAACTCCTCCTCCACTACTACCTTCTCCACCTTCACCGCCTTCTTCCCCTTTACCACCTCCTCCCTCCTCTTGAACGATCCTTCAGATCGGCTCCTCTGCATCACGGGCTGGGGTCCACCTCGACTGGAGCTTTGAAAGAAACTTCTCCATGACTGCAAGGGGAGGCGAGTCAGCCAAGACGGATGAAGCAGCAGCAGAAAACCGTACCCCATTCCTGGCTACTCGCATTCTCCGCCACTGCAGGGGGCTGCTCTTGCCATTGCCCTCCTCCCCTTCTCCGCCTGGATCGCTCGCATGAGCGGCCGGCCGTCCCTGGGGCGGCTCTGGATCGAACTTCATGCTGTTGTCGACCTGCCGTAAGGGCATCACAGTGAGCTCAACACGATCGCGACCTCTGCTCTTGAGCTACTGCTCCCCTCCCTCTCCCTCCCTCACCTTTGGAGACTCGAGAGTGAGGGAGGAAGCAGACGGAGGTTTGTCTTGCTCCTCCCGTTTCTCTTGGCAGCATTTGCAGCGAGGCATGCCGCTCGAGCCCGGCGAAGAAGATTCTCAGGTCATCCTGTAGGAATGATGCGACGGCCTCAGCTTTGACTTAGAGCAGCAGGCGCTTCTCGGTCACTCCTCTCCCTCCCTCCCTCCCTCCCTCCCTCCCTCCCTCTCTCTGTCTGTCTCCTTCCCTCTCTCACACACCCTCTCTCTCCCTCCTTCCCTCCCTCTGTCTGTCTCCTTCCCTCTCTCTCCTTCTCTCTCTCTCTCCATCCCTCCCTCCCTCATCGTCGCCATCTGGCCCAACATGATATTCGCCCGATTTGACATCCAGAGGAACCAATTTGAGCCTGAGGTGGGGGATGAGGGGAATATCAGGGAATGAGGGGGATGATAGCAGGGCCCGGCGGCTCGTCTCGGCGGCGCCGCGGGCCGCCCGGACCGGGCCCGGCACATCTAATATGATGACGGTCTGCGGCATCGCCACCTCCCTGAGCGGCGGCACACAGGGAGATGTCGGCAGCCTTCACTCTCAGAGGTTCAGGAAGCAGTAAGTTGACTAGTGCAGTGACTTAGTTAAGTGAAAATCAGTACGAGGACAATCAGGAGAGTAGAGGAGTAAATCGTTTGTTTAGAGGAGACCCTGACACTGTGACTAGTGACTAGTGACTTACCTTTGAGTAAAGCCTCGGACCGAGTCAGTCGGTTTCCGGACTCAGTCAAGTTTCGCCGGGCCCGAAGTCACGAGTCGGAGCCCCGGGTCAGGGTGGGGGTGAAGAAAGTCTGTTCTTTTAGGTGGGTACTACAGGGATAGATAGAGGGTAGGGGTCCGCTTGATAGAAGGGTGGGTTGTTCGGGGGCCGAAGTCGAGGGGCCGGAAGATGGCGAGGGCGATGGCGATGGCGATGGCGATGGCGATGGCGATGGCGATGGCGATGGCGGAAGCAGGAGACGTGAAGATGGTCCAGGTCAGAACAGAAGGAGGTAATGCCAGGTCGCCTCTTGGAAGCGCATCTCTCCTCGGATTCGTCGGAACCCTACCATTTTCCCCTTTCGCCCGAGAAGTCAGAACCCTTGGCGGGACGACATGTGTCCAGAGGCAGAAGATGACTGGAATGACGGGGAGAGGGATAAAAAAGAGCGCATGTATGATGATGAGCAGTGTTGATACCAGCACTGATGACAAGGGCTCATCGTTCTTCGACGAAGAAGACGAGAAACTGGGGGAAGAGTTCTTTCGGGAAGAAGAGATCAGTAGGGAGAGAGTTCTGCGGATGACAGTAGCAGAGCTGAAGGAGCAGCTGAAGGACAGGGGATTCAAGGTGAGGACAGGATGTGGGATGGTTGTTGGGAAGGAGAAGGAGGAGGAGGGAGGGGGAAGGATGATTGGAGGAGGGAGGAGGAGAAACAGAGTAGTGACATGGATCGTTGAAGGTTGGAGGAGTGAAAGCGGAGCTTCAAGATCGTCTGCTGGAGGCTCTCGGGTTGGTAGAAAGCGGCTCCCCTCGTCCAGCACCGTCACAGAAGGGCGCGAAGAGGGAGGAGGACTTTCGGACCTACGACTTGAGCTTCAACGCTCCCCCCCTAGCTGAGGTGGAGATGGGAGAAAACTCCAAGGTGCGCGTGCTCCTTCGCTCTTCCTCATACACATCTTGTCTATCACAGCCCGTCTCATGCTCGAACCTGCTTGCCTCCTGCAACCCCCCATCCCACCTCCTCCTCCTCCTCCTCCTCCTCTTCCTCCTCCTCCTCCTCCTCCATCTTCTCTCCCTTCGCTCGCCTGATGACCAGAGCAGGTCTACCTGCGTGGACTGCCTTACAGTGCTCGACCAGCTGACGTTGTTGACTTGATGGTAACGAAGAGGAGGAGGAGATGGAGATCAAGGAGGGAAGAGGGAGGATGAGGAGGGAAGCTGGAAAGGGAAAGGCTAACTAAGTCCTGCAGGAAAGCTTCGGCAAAGTAGTCAAAGTGCAGGGAATGTTTCAGCAGGTAACAAGCAAATCTTGAGGAAGAGGAGGAGAAGGGGTCAGAATGGTAATCATCATCATCGTCAACAACAAAAACAAACACAAAGACAAAGACAAAGACAAAACAACAGCAACAACAACATCACAGTGAGGTGGAGAAGGGAGGGTGAGGGGGTAGGGAATACAAATTGAAATGAGGAAGGAGCAAGAGACGATGATGGAAGGATGACGGAGCTTCAGGTCGAGCGTCAGGTAGAGCTTTGATAAGCGTCAGGTAAAAGCCTTGGATTAAACCCTATTGCCTGGGGGGAACGCGGAAAGCAAAAGGTTAAACGAAAAAAGGAGGAAGTAAGGAAGTATGATTGATGCACCGACTGAGA